GATCACTACAATTTGTGTAGGTCAGGTGAATATTGCGTACCCATACAGTGACTTCAATGCACCGGCATTTCAAAGGACAGGGCTCAGGTCAGAAATCAGGCATCCAGCAGGGCACAGCAAATTTACCTCAGGCAGGGTCTTCACCCTACACAGGACAGCAGGTGCCAGTGTGGGCCGAGAAGGCTTGCACAGGCTTAACACTAACAAGGGGCTGGTGGGTGTGTATTTTTGTGCTTTTTGGCTTGTAACATTTTTCTAAACAACGACACTGCCAACCCAAAGCTCTCAGACTTCCAAGCTTAACTCCAAGTATCTCATTTTTCAGCATCTGGCTTTTTCAAACTGGTTTGGAAAAAATAAATAAAATGAAGAGCAACATTCATATAAATGAATGATTTATTTGCAACTTGTTTTATTTTCACAGCTTTTTGATTGATATTAGTATACTTGACAGGTCCAATTTATATGCAAATCAGCTTACATTCACAATGTAAAGGAGGAAAACTTCATTTCTCATGCTTTGCAAATCATTACACCCTCTGAACATTTTGCTTAGTCATATGTTCCTCAAAAGCATCGGCTTTCACCAGAAATCACTTGTCCTTGCTATCCATTAGCCTCACAGAGATCTCAGGGCTTGGGGAACGAGCCATATTTGTGGGGATGCATGAAATTAAGAGTGGGCTATGCTGTACCACAAACGTACAAGCATAGTAAACTATGGGGTCTTGCAGTGTATGTATGTGTGCTAGATGTTAGAAGATCACAGATGAGGACAGCAGATTTTCCAGTTCCTGCTTCTGGCTGCTTTCTGCTGTACCTTTGCTCACAGCTCTAATTGGTGCCAGGAGCATTTTCTTAGAAAGAGCCGCTCTGCTGGACAGCTCTTGTCCCTGTGTATCACACGTTTTGTTAACTGAGACTTGAAAAGGATCCAGGATCTCTCCTGTAAATATTTACATAGATACAGGATCGTCACTGCTCTTAAATCAAAAAGTGGAGGAGGGGAAATGGCTTACGGAACAGAAGGACTCTGTATTCAGAAAGACCTGGAAGGGAAAGAAAACGAACGACTCTGATGGCTTCTCCAGAGTTTGTCCCCTGGGACTGCCCTCCAAGTGCTGTGTTCTCAGGAAGGTCCCGATCTGAAGCCTGATGGCGTCAATGGAAAAAAATCCCTCTGATACCAAAAGATTTTGGATCAGAACTACTTTTTATCCAGTTTGTAACTGAAAAAAATCCTGTTCACCAGCCAGACCACTTGGTGTCTCTCTTCTGCTCCTTCTTTATTGTTATTACTAAAGAGTTTCAGGACCGACATGAACAGACATTGTTTGGAACAGGGGAAAGCAGCAGCAGCAGATGCTGAGGAAAAATGATGTGTTCTTTAGCCAGCTGACTCTCTTTTGATGTATTTAGCCAATACTCCTTTCTCTTCTGTGACAAAGGAGTCAGCCTTGAGAGTTCTCACACAAATCGTGACTTGAAGAAGTGGTGGTGGTAGATGGCCCATGCATGGGCATCGGAATCAGGAAGCTGGAGCCTTGTGGCTTTGGGGAAGCCACAAAACCCTCCTTGCTTAACTTCTCCATCGTGGGAAAGGGAGAATTCCCTTGTTTGCTTACCTCGGAAGGCTGTGGTGAAGATCAAGGACAGCTTTGGAAAACGCCCTAGCAGTCTTTTGTACTATAATTAAGCAAAAAAAGAATGTTGCAAAATAAAATAAAACCAACAAGTACAATTTCTTCCAAGCAAAACCTTCCAAAGAATGAAGGTATATATTTATACCAAGAACAACTTAAAGGACTGGCACTTTCTGCGTAAACCACTGAAGACAACGACCATGTTTTTGCATGAGCCTGTGCCCAGCACACAGTGGGGGCTGTATAAATCTGGACTGTCCATGGTCACGGCTCGCTGCCACAGGCCCCCACGGCCCTGCGGGTCTCTGCCGCTGCAAAACAACAGGGAGGAAACAAAGGACGATGGAACCAATAAAGAGCTTCGGTTTTGGTGGGAATCCCAAGTTTATGCCAGGCAGGCAGCCGTCTTTGCGGGAGAGCGGCGCCTCCCAGGGGAGGGCCCCGCTGCCACCCCACCCGGAGGCCCGCCGGCTCCTGGCAGGGACAGCCCCATGGGGAGAGGCTCTCAGGGCCCGGTGGCCTGCGCCCCTCCCACCCCCGGCTGCCCACCGGGCGGCCCTCACCCGCAGCTCCCCGTGACAGGGACCCCCGGGGCCGCCCCCCGCCGCCCCCCTCCCTCTGCCCCCGCACAG